ATTTTCAATCAGATGCTAACTTGCTTTAAGTGTTTTACTGTACATTGAACTTTAATTACACACAGGAGGCTCCTGCAGGGTCTAGAAGACTATTAACAGAGCAGGAGATAAGACATTCTAAATTAAACATTGTAGTTTCTACTAAATGCCATTGTTGTACACTGTTGGTTAAAACCAAAGGGCCACTGCACCCAAACCACTTCATTGAGATGCAGTGCTCTGGGTGCCTTTAGTGGTCAATTAATAAAACCATATACTCAGGAGCTAGATTTATTTTTTGTTAAGTAATGGAAAACAAATTATCCATGAAAAACAGACTATTCAATGCCAATCATCACTTTGCAGTGAACATATTTCTCTGCCTGGGCTCCACCTAGTTGTTTGCTTTCTGCAGAAGGGTAGTAAAAGCCTGCCCTCCCTTTACTGTACAAAAGTTTGAAAACAAAAGACTACGTTTTTTAACAGTTAATGGGGGGTGGATGGCAGTTGGAGGAATTTTTTTTAATGTCCTATATTGAACTAATTCCTGGTTTTAGTACAACTGTATCACATAATGCTAATAAACCACACTTTTTTTAAAGCCTGGTAACATTTTGGGAAAGATGCATTCCTCAAAATGCCAATTTGTTCCTTACAAGTACCTATAAGCATCATGTTTGATCATTTGTATTTATTGATTTTTGCCACATCTATGTATTGTAACATTTGGTCTGCATGGGGTGAAGTACTCCCCTTTTAATTCAATGCACAGGAGTTCGATTGAGTTGTTTATAGAAAAAAAAACAAAAAAACATGTCATATATACTGTCTGTGCTAAGTTAATGTGCTCAGAATTCCTCTCAGGTTTAAAATAATCATGATTTGTTTCAGTGAAAGGGTTAATCTCAAGATGCTATCTTATCACAAACAATACTTAAATTCGTCTGGGATAACAAAAAAAAAAAAAAAAACAGGATTGCAGCTCCAACTATGTATATCCCTTTTAACCAAGGGGGTATGGGGCTCCCGAACCTAACCACATACTACAGAGCATCCTTTCTCAGCCCTCTGATATTGGCCTTTCACCACCAATCACCACCTTCTTGGGTACCAATAGAATCTACCCACATGGAAGGGAACCGTATTATGTCCCTGGCATCGACAGAAATATCGTAACATCCCTAAACTTACGAGAGTGGGACAAATACAGAAACGCACACAATCTGCTCGCCACTGTCTCCCCAGCAATGCCGATACAAGCATTTGCCACATTGATCCCAAGTTTGAATGCACCGCTATGGCTCCTACAAGGTATATCCTTCCTATACCAGCTAATTAAAGGTTATGAATTTATCTCTTTCAAATCCCTGCAAACTACTTATAAGCCACCTAACACAGCCAAGTTTTCTTATATGCAAATCAGATCCTGTATGGGGAGGAATAGAGATGTTAGACCAAAGTCTGTAAATAAGCAGTTGGGCTTGGAAACCTTATGCATACAACAAAAAAGACCCACAAAACTAATATCCTTATTGTACAATAGTGAATTTTAGCAAAAAGATACCCACAAACCTTCTTTTATCTCAGCATGGGAAAACAACCTTAAAAAAATCATTAACTGACAAACGAATTCCGCCCGTCTGGCTGCAAGGCCTAGCAAGAATGACGGCCTGAAGGTTGGAGGAGGCGGCCGATCCTCTGACCCGGACCGCATACTGCACCATGACAAGCTTGAAGCCCCGTCACCCCCCCCTCTGGACCGGCGGGGGATATCCCGGTCCTCACTGGGGGAAACCTCCTCCCTGCACCGCTCAGATCTCCCAAACTGAGGGACAGCACGAGGAGACAAAGATGGCCGCCGTGCTCCAGACAGCGCATAACATGGAGGTGGCAGGCATCCAGAACTGGCGGGAAAATTTCAAGGCCAGGTTTGATCTCCTTCTCCAAGGGTTCTGGCACCGCATCGCTACCCGCAACTCACATGGGCCGCAGACCCAACACAACGGAGAGCCGAACCACATCTCCTATTCTGGGCTTGGAGCCCACACGGAGGCAAAGCCAACCAGCCGCCCAGATACCTGGAGGGTCATCCCACAGGCCCACGACCCTGCCGAAAAGCAACGGAGGGTCCCTGGACATGCGGCACGGGCTCCACATAAGGCCCGGGCTCAGGAGAGTGGTAGACACCGGCGTCTCGTGCCTATCGCTGCTCGCCGAAAGAGAGTCCGGCCCGGTACACAACACCCCTTGCGGGGAAACAACGCTGACCGGCCGGTCGGAAAACAAGCTCATCACCTCCGATGGCGCAGAATTCTCACTCACCTGCAGCTCCGATTGAGCTCCGCACACCACCAACCACAGAGGCTGAAAAACGCCAGACGCACGCGGCTACTCCAGACCGAGCTGAAGTATGGGAATCCTCAAGTTCGTAGGGAGGAGAAGCTAACTTGTCCCAGACCATGGAAAGGTGAGCATGCCCTAACTCGACACGATCAAGTAGCGATCCCCAGCGGACTACCCTATGCCTATGCAACCCTTTATGCCAAGAACCCATGCTTCCCCACCTTGGGTATAGGCTGACTGTCAGAAAATAGCCAGGACACTCATACAGACTCTCACTTTCATGCGAGCACACCTTGCATAGCTGTATGAGAGCTTAAAGGCAACTTGTACTCCTGCTACTTATGTCTACCTCTGTCGGTGCAACCCACATTCTAAAGCAATCTATTACCCAGTGGTACTACTCACGCCTTATTATCCATGTCTGATATGCAATTACTCTATCAAACTCGCATCTAACTGTGTTTTCTTAGCCAAAATAGATACTAGAGTAAATGTACTGTTTCAATAGAAGACATGTTACTACTGTTTATTACATGCTGAGCTCTAGATCAGTGACCTTCACCTGTTTATCTTGATTATTATCTGTTATTTCAGTAAGCACAATGTCAGCTAGTCTAGCCTGTTTAATGTCATACATTACTGTTGAAAACCCGCTGACTTCGGCAAATATATCCTATTTAGAGCGACTGATCAATAGTATTGTAGCGACTGACAATAGCATAGCAGCGACAGATCATGGCATTGAAGCGACTGATAATGGTGTTGACCTGACTATAAACAGTATTGAAGCGACTGCCAATAGTATCAAAGTATAAGCTCGTGACATTGAAACCACACTGATGTAGTAAAATTTTGCTAAGCACAATAACACTCAACGTAATCTAACTGCATGTTCCTACTAAGCAGTTTTCACTGTATTTTCGTTACTCCTACCTTATCAATTTAACTATTTAGTCGAGCATGTTTAAAAACATAAAACTGTGCAAATTTTTATGCCACTGTTAAACTGTTGTGAATCTCGAAATACGCTGTAGTAGCGCCCGTTGATACTCTGTACTCACCTGCACAACAAAAATAAAGAATAAAAATATATATATATATATATAATCAGCACGAAAGGATATGAAATTGTGGCGAGAACCACAACCACCACAAAGGGCTTCTGAAGAGAGACCTGGAGTCTATGGGAAGCAAAGGTACTTCCCCAAATTACCTAGTCAAATAAGCGACCACAGTAAACAACAAACATTGCTCTGAAAAGATGGATTGTACGGACTGCACCAAAGGCTCAGGCGAAGGAGCCGCATAGACCACACATGTAACCCAGGTAGAGCAGTGCAACCGCCCAAGCTCTGCTGCCTATATCTTATCAGCCAGCCCAGACTACATGCCCCGGCTGGGAAGGCTGAATCTTCACACCACTGGTGTCCTAATGCCCAGGCCTTTTAGGCCCTGGTTGGACTTTGTTGGCACTTGAATATGCAATTTCTAATCCCAAGTTTTAGCTTACTAAATACTATTACACCAGCCTAACAGAAAATCCAGACCCGGCAGATGTGCTCATGGGGGAAGTAGTAGACCAAAGTGTCGTTCGCACTGCTTGAAAATAAGCCCAAGATGCCAAGGATCTAAACCCAACACCCATTTGGGGGCCTATAGGAAATATAAGAAATAGAATGAATATGGACTGTTGTGATTGTTTATTGTATTTATCTCTCGTTGCAAGGCTCACCTCCCTAACCCCAACCCTTCGCCCTCCTCCACCTCCTCCCCCCAAATCCCCTTTCCCCCACACACCATGATTAATATGTTTCTTCCTGATATGTTACTTACTATTGTAAAATCAGTACGCACAGTGATCTACTACCAAACTATGTGACAGTCCATGCTAAGTGTATTAGGACATCTGCTACAATCCATGTATAATATTTTGCACACCACTCTTAATAAATTGTACATTGTGGAAATCTGTAAATGTCTAATTGCATAATGCGTACTTGAAAAAAAAGAAAAAAAAAAAAGATGCTATCCTGTTGTGGATAGAACAAAATAGAAAAATAGGCACACAACAGGTTTAGATGAACTCAGGGGAAATACTTTGAATAGTCATACAGATCAAGATTTCCATTGAAGGCCTGTAGAAATTTCCTGAGGGTTCATTAGCATAACCATGGGATACATCGTGCTGCGAGTGTTTTTCACTTCTTCCCTAGAGGTACAATCCAGCATAGGGAACCGAATAATACATGTTTTTAACCTTTGGCCAGTATAGCAAAACAGTTTCCCAAGTTATCACAATCCAAATTTTAGATTTTATTTTACTGCCATTATCGAATAAATTATTCCTAACTCACGATCTACTCATTAAGAAACAAACCCTGTAACACTGCACAAAGTCTCCTATCCACTTACATCACTTCTCATTTCCAGTCCACAGGGACCTTCAACAAGCACCTCCTCTCCATTCTGGAAATGAGAAACAAGACATCCACAAGTCAATCAGATGCAGACAACAGAACTGGTAGCAATTGGGCAGCCATCACAGATTAAATGAAAATATCACTTCCCATGATTTTTTTAATGTTATGTTTGCTTATCTCAATATTTAAAGGGATTCTATAGTTCCAGGAAAACAAAGCAGTTTTTCTGGCACTATGGAATCCTACAGTGCCCCCATCCCTCGATGCTGAAGGGGTTAAAACCCATTCAGTGACTTACTTGAATCCAGCGTTGATGTCCCTCGGCCCTGGGTCAGGCTCCTGTGGACAGCCACTAGAGGTGGAGTTAACCCTCATATGTAATTATTGCAGTGTCAGAAACTGCAATAATTACCACTGTAGGGTTAAAGGACATGAGATGAAGTGGTCTAGGTGCCTACAGTGTCCCTTTAAACGAACAATCTGTGAAGTGGGCACCATAACAGCTTAATCTCAATGAAGTTACGCCCTGGGGTCTGTCGTACCTTAAGAGGTTATAGACTTTATGAAATCTACTATCTACATTTAAAAGAAAAGAAATTGAGCATCTCAAAAAAAATATATATATTAAAAGGGGCACTATAGGCACCAAAACAACTTAATAAAGCAGTTTTGGTGTATAGATCATGTTTCTGCAGGCTCATTGCTTAATTATCTGCCATTTAGGAGTTAAATCACTTTGTTCATACGGCCCCAGCCACACCTCCCTGCATGTGACCTAAACAGCCATCCTAAGCACTTCCTGTAAAAAGTATTCTAATGTTTAAACTTCCTTTATTGCACATCCTGTTTAATTTAGAGTGTATTATCCCCTACTGTGTTAAAGGACTGGTAGAGACTACAGGAGCCTCCCGTGTGTGATTAAAGTTAAATTTACAGAGTTAAGAATAAAGTAAGTTAAAATCTGATTGAAAATTAAGCCTTTTTTTATGCAGCATGTGTCAGTCAAAGCCAGTGGAGGTGTGGATATTGCAGCATAGACAGAAATAAAGTGATTTTAACTCTTACATTGCAGAGAGTTGAGCAGTCAGCCTGCAGGAGTATGATCTAGACACCACAACTGCTTTATTTAGTTACAGTTGTTTTGATGCGTTTAAAATCCCTTTTACACAAGTTACTGATAAATTTCAATGTTTTATGTACTTTCCAGAGAAGTGAGTTCCCAGTTAATGTTTGGACAAACATTAAATATTATTATTGGCATTTATATAGCTCCAACATATTGTGTAGCACTTTAAAAATATTCATGAAT